GGATGTCAAACACATACATATATGTACATATATGACTAAATATAGGCTATAATCATCATATATAAAACATGAAATTCGATAAATATCAGATAATTAATAATTATAGAAACAATATAATTATTAATTATACTTCAATATTATTCTCTCTCGTAATTGTTGTAATATCCAAATATATTTTTATATCACTTGCAAATTTTCGTAAAAACAAAATTGTAACAATCAACTAGAATATATTGCCTGAAGTCTTAACGGTAGATCTAACAGTAAGATATACCGAAGTAATCATAAATTACTTTTCTATTTGTAAATATCTAACAAATATTTAACAAATAACGTATTAGATATATTAGTTAATTTTCTAGTTTTATGTTTATTAAGGAAGCATGTCCATTATTAAATTATATATTAATATTATCGTGCATAATATTATTAAGATAATATTATGATGAAATATATTAATTTCTCTAACAATAAGAATATTTCAGAAAAAATGTAAAAATATGTAAAGTCCGTAATAAACATTAAAAAAGTGATAATAACAAATACCTATATAAAAATATTTTTAATCAAGATTGTTATTTAATTAATAAATTAGAAACTGTAATGAGTATGTTATTAAGTTTATGTAAATAAGTTTTTATTACTTTCTTTGCTAGTTCCAGGATAGATACGCATAGAATACGCATTTAGAATCATAGTATAAATTGTCTTCGTGTTTATATAGTTAGAAATGGTAATATAGTTAACAATAAGAATTTATACAATATGATATATAGTAGGAGAGTTACATGAAAGAATAGACAAAAAGATTAGAATAGACGATAATGATTTATAAAGACTTATAACACGTATCAACTTACCCTGAGACTACTTAAAATTCGGAATTATATCTTTATACTTGACCATCTATTTTTCTTTTTCTCTTTTCTCTTTTATATTAAATAGTTAGTATTAATATAATACGAAACATGAAAATAGTAGAAAAGTCAAGTACAATAATTGTAACAATAGAATCGTTAAGTAAATTTAAAGCGTATTGTGTTGACGAAAATTGTTGAATTAAAAATATAGCATTGGAAATAATGAACGAATGCATTCTATGCCAAGCTGTTAAAATTAGAGATATTTTTGAATTTGTGTAATTTTAAATTAAGATACAATAAGACATAAGGCAGGCTGCCAGATCATGTTACTTTCACGTATAATCTTCCAATTGGCAATGCGTAACGGATTGGTTGCATTGACTAATCGGAAATGTGATTAGTCAACAAACCGTAAAACTATTTTGATCAAACTAAACTATAATAAAACTAACTCCAACCAGCAACGTCGAAAAGGGATTAAGGTGCCCTAGCTGATTTTGTTCCAAATATTTATCACTCCGTTCATGTGCTACTTAGGTATCTCATCTTCGAAATATCTTTTTCCAAGAGATAATGAATAATGAAATAATACAAATAATAAAATGTTTACTCGTTTTCATTTCGGAACAAAATTCAAAATATTACGAGTTTGTTATATATCATATATAATATCGTTTAATTAATACCGCTTAATTAACTAAAAGGTAAAGTATCCACCGGAATTATTCGAATTGAGACGTAATAACTTTGGATCAAAGAGAGTCAAAATTAAAATTTACTATTGGATTTTTTCGTTAATTCGCCACTTCGCAGAGAATCGTTAAAGGGAAAAAATTCAGAACGATAAATATCCCTCATTTGAGTTTGCTATAGAGTTTCTAGTATGAGTAACCAGTAAATTGGAACAAGCAACTATAAGTTGGTCAAAAATAGACCATGTCTAATTTGGTGTCCGTGAACTGAACTGGCACACAGTACTCTCAAGTCCCAGACAACCGCTTCCAATTACAAAGTACATCTGACCCTATTGTTCTTTTCTCAGATTTATCCTCTTATCTTTTCTTTTTCCTAGTTACACGTTTCCCTTTTACATTATTTTTCTACACCAATCGAATTCGTCCGTTTTTGTTTTATTTAAAAAGTGGAAACAAATTAAATACCTTTGTATATTCGAAAACGATGGAAACAACAAGGTATGTACTGTTAACAATTTAACAAATATCTCATTTTTATTATTACGTATAAACATGTATTCGCTTGTTATAATAACTCAACGATAGAAACAAACAATTGTAAATTTATTTAATTTACAAGACATTATACGTAATCTAATCACATTTTAAAGGAACGTTGTCATAATCAAAATTTTATTTAAAGTAAATCGTATTTGACATAATAAAATACTAATGGTGTTTAAGGTATAAATTACTAATTAAAAGGTTCAACCTATATTTTATTCAAACAACTCAAAGATATAGTATGAATAAATATTTAACCACCATGGCAAATGTAATAAATAATAAATTTAAACATCAAATGTAGAAAATTTACTTTGAAAAAAAGATATAGCAATGCTTGGTTTTGAATCATTTTAGTATTTCATAAATTAAAATATTGCTAATAGTTTGTAACGCATGAAACGCATTAATTATTTTACTGTATGTATATCATACTTAAAACATATATCACGTGTCATGTATGAATATAAAAAAATTCCTCGTATTCTCGTACTCTTTTCCTCATATTCTCTTTGGGAATCAATTTTTATCTTCCCACAAATTCTATTTTCTTTTACGAAAAAATTACACGAATAACAAATACTACCTAAGACGTAATCGTATTACTAATTATTTCGATATATTACTTCATAAATCATACTGTATTTGAAAAGCTTAGAAACTTAAAATTATATACGATGAAGAAATAATAAGGAGGCAAAGTTTGAATTCGATACACCATAGGAGTGAATAAAAAAGGGAAAGGGAACAAAGATTATTATAATTCAATCGACTCGCGATTACTCTACATTACTTCTGTGTAATTGATATGTGCAAGAAATTATTTTCGAATATCTGTTTTACAAAAATCTATATCTAAATCTAAATCTATATACCCAACACCAATATAACACAAATATAACGTAACAAATATAAAGCGTTGTCCTAAGAACAATATAAACAAGACAGAAATAATTTGAAATTGAACCTGTAATAAATATCACAGATAGATAACGTAATGAACATTTTCGAAAAACCTTATCCTTCAATTTATATTGAAACAGCACCCGAAGACACTAATATATCTTATGTATTAAAGCAGAGTAAGAAGCAACTATCATAAGTAACAAATTATTGGTAATTGTAAATATAACGTAATAAATAAATGTTCAATTCGAAATTAAATATATTCCTATCTGTTTATTAATTAACCGTTTCATAAATATCGATATACAATACAGGAAATACAATGCAGGGAATTACAACAGCGAAAATTAAGACTTACGAAAACAATCTTATTCGATGATTTAAGCAACAGTTTTACATATACAGCAATGTTTATGCTACGTCCAACCTGTTTGTTATCATTTACAAAATTTTACCTATATTATCACAAACATACCATGAACTTGAATAATGTGGATCGTGTATCTATAATTTTATCAGAGAATACGTGGAAATTATAAAACACGTGATATCATTTTTTATATAAAGTATACAATTTGTGACTATGCATAATCGTTCGAGTTAACCTATCAGTGAAATTAAACAAACGGTACTTTCTCGAAGAGATGTTATTTTATAATAAATCACACGGGCAATTATTAGTTTAATTAATATCAGTTCGATGCCAAAATTAAATGACTAGTTTAACAAAGCTGCTTAAATAGTATCCTTTAATCTTGAAAAATATGAAAACTCTTACAAAATGTGTAAAAAACCTCGTACAAAATATTCAACACATAAAAAATGTTATATTCGCGATATAACAACTCTACAAATTTCCTTTATCTTTGTTTCTGTTATCGTCATTGTCGAAAACGTTATTATTTGCTATCGTCATTAATGTTATCCTTGTTGTCGTTGTTGTTGTTGTTACTATTATTGTTATTGTTGTTGTTGTTATTTTGTTATTTAACATTTTTGTTATCGTTTACAGTGTTATTCACGTAAATCTCATTAGAGCTGAATTATTTATGAAATTATGACGTATAATTTTTTTTCCGATGAAGCTTAATTCGAAACGAACAGTATACATATATTCACAGTGTCAGAGTGCGTTCGTTAACACGTTACGTAAGAACTGCCAAATTTAGCTTGCAGACATAGTTTTAAAATGATGATATCGATTTCAAAATCATTTCAGTCAAGTTATTTCCTACTATTTTCCTAACGAGAAAAAGCGTATCGAATTCATCGACGACCTTTCATTTTAACCGTTTCTATTTACAGAAATTCGTGTCGCGCATGCAACGCGGTATTCAAACGTACCGATAATGAAGTAATTAAACAGGCTTCGATTGCAAACTAAAATTATCGAAAATGGCGAGACAGCATTTGAAAGGTTGTTGGGAAAAGAAGATAATAAGCGAGTGCACGGTCGTGCAGAATAAAAAGTGCAATTAATTAAATTAAACCACTTTGCTCATCGAGGCGAAATTTATTTATCAAGAAGTAGCTGTAGCATGATTAATATGGAGACAACTCGTGGAGATAACTCGATAAAGGAAACGGTAAGGCGATGACACGTGAAAATTAGATTAACGAAAGAAAGTGGGATCAAAAATAGCAGTGGAAAAACTTTTCCGTTTTGTGCGCATTCTCTGGTTATTACTTCGATCAAACGATTACTTTACGCGAGATTTCAAATCGGATTAACGAACGGCAATTGCAAATCGTCACGATCAATGTTAAGCTAGCAAGTATCACCGACATTATTATTCCGTCCCCGCGATCATCACTTTTCTATTATATTGCTTTCTCCAGCCTCTGCTGGTCGTACGGTGTACGAGATGCGACTAAATGTTACCCAAGTAAATCGATTTAATTTCGTACATTCTCTCTAACAGGCTGCACGCAAGCATACGTAAATACAAATAAATGTATTTAAACGGCATAATAAGATAGCAATAGTTTGTACCTGAACTTACAAGGTATCCTATAAGATGTTATTTCCTCGGAAGTAGCGACACGACTCTCGCAGACGTTGCAACGTCCGTTATTTCCCACTCCTTTCAACATCTACCCCTTCCCCTATATAGTCGCTCATTCGTCTAACGCGTATTTCCTGCTAATTTACCAATACTCCCTACGGTATTTCGAGTATTTCTTCCATGCTTTTTATTTTTATTATCTTCGCTGCGTACCAAATTTTACGATACCTCGTCGTTTTATTAGGTGATTCGAATAGTAAAGTAATTGTGAACGAATTCTTTCTTTCGTTATCTTTTTAAATGCATCTTTATCGTCTGTCTTCTCCGACACAGGTCGTTTAAGGATAAAAGTATCCTGCACATTCGAATATTTTTATTATTTTCATTGATAGAAAATATATCCCAAGGTAAACTTGTTTATTTCGAGGCTAGAAATATCGTGACTCGTGATCTTTCTCGCCGGAGCTCACTTTTTTCCTAGTTTTCAAGGTCGTCGACATTTTTTACGCATCAACACCTATCTTTTTTTTATCACTGACCATTGAACTACACATTGAGACAAATTGCACAACGCTGTCCTACGTGATCAAGTAGCAATCATTTTTGCAGAAGAGAAAAATTACGTATAGACGTAACGTTTGTACCATCTAATCCACTCTCGATCAACTATTGAAATTATTTGAGGAAACAGGGTCTGCGACGAAGAAATTGCTCTTACATTGCCGACAAAAGATGTGGTTTGAATACGATTACCCATTTCCTATGTATTATGCGAAAAATGTCATAGGTCGTTAAATTCATTTCGACTTGCATCCTCGAAAGTATAATAATTTGAAAAAAGCATGAATCGTAAGATTCGTAGCTTTGGACCAAACAAATTTTTTCGGATTAGCAAAAGTAGATAAAAAGAATATTTGACTGTACACCCTATATATCTATATACAACGCAGTTGCACGTTTCGAAAAATTCATTAACTTTGAATGAAATTTCTTTAATAGTCGTATGATAATAATATCTATGAATAAGCGTGAAGTTCGAGATATAAACATGGAAGTGAACGATCCATGTAAGTAAAAGATTATAGATAAGATCGTATTCATCCAAGTATATTCGTGTTATTTTTAACGGTGCGAAAAATTGGCTCCCAAAAATGTTACGTGATACCTAAAGCATCGCATCAACATTATTTTTGTATTAGCGAATAATCCAAATTTTCTTAGCTTCGTGTATTCCGTGTTCAAGAATCGTGCTTCGTAATAGAATTCTCTTCTGTCAAACACGTGACACTCGAGAAATACGAAAATACGTATATCAAAGTGAAAAGTTTAAATAATCTAATAACGGGGTGGCATATAATAAGGTAATAAAATAACGAAATTAAAAGTTGCTACATCCTTTGCGCTATCACGTCTTCTAGAATTAGAATATGACTAATATTGAAAAACATTTGAAATCTAATATGCGATATTTTACGCGTTTTCTATTAACCAACATGGTACGTAGCATGTTTAACGTGTATTGTGATAGCAAGTGCGTTAAACGTCTATTAATAATCGTTCGTGTATTGTAAATCCTCCAAACACATTGACGTTGCAGGTTGTATATATTTATATACACGTTTCAGAGGAAATCCAAGAATTTTGCTTCGAAATGCTCAGCTGCGATTCGTGGAAAGTTTTGTACCTGCTATGGGTGGTCTTGGCATAGGACTTTACATATAAACGTCTTCTTTTTTTACAGTTTATTCATTTATCTGTCTAGAATTTCATGTCTATCTTCATTCGATTTTGTATTTATATCTTTGTAATTTCATTCGTTTTTCTTTTTTTTTTTTTTTTTGGTTAAATTTTT